GGAATGTATAATAGGGGACAAAGAAATGGCTGAAGAACTGAATACATACTTTGGTTCTTTCTTCACAAAAGAGGACACAAATCAGATACCAGAATTGTTGGAGGATGCAAGATTTAGTGAGAGGGAAGAACTGAAGGAGATCAATATTAGTAGAGAAATGGTGCTGGGAAAGTTCTTGGGATTGAAAGCCAATAAATCCCCAGGGCCTGATAATCTGCTTCCCAGACTACTTAAGGAAGTAGCTCTAGAAATAGTGGATGCATTGGTCATCTTCCAGGATTCTATAGATTCTGGAACAGTCTCTGCAGATTGGAGGGTGGCTAATGTCATTCCAGTATTCAAAAGGGAGGTAGTGAGAAAACAGGGAATTATAGATCAGTAAGCCTAACGTTGGTAGTGGGGAAAATTCTCAAATCCATTGTCAAGGATTTTATAGCAGAGCATTTAGAAAGCAGTGGCAGGAACAGACAGAGTCAGCACAGATTTATGAAGGGGAAATTATGCTTGACGAATCTGTTGGAATTCTATGAAGATATAACTAGTAGAGTTGACAAGGGGGAGCCAGTCGAAGTGGTATATTTGAACTTTCAGAAAGCTTTTGACAAAGTCCCACATAAGAGATTAATGTGCAAGTTTAAAGCGCATAGAATTGGGGAAGTGTATTGGGATGGATAGGAAACTGGTTGGCAGAGAGGCAGCAAAGAGTAGGAATTAATGGGTCCTTTTCAAATTGGCAGTGTGATGCCACAGGGATCAATGGTGGAACCCCAGCTATTCACAATATATATTAATGATTTGGATGAAGGAACAAAATGTAACATCTCCAAGTTTGCAGGTGATACCAGGTTGGGTGGGAGGGTGAACTGTGACGAGGATGCAGAGATCCTTCAGCATGATCTTGACAGGTTGGGTGAGTGAGCAAATCAATGGTAGATACAGTATAATTTGGATAAATGTGAGATTATTCGCTTCAGAAGCAAAAACAAGAAGGCAGATTTCTACCTGAATGGCTGTAAATTGGGAGAGGGGAGTATGCAGCGGGCCCTATGCGTCGTTGTACACCAGTCACTGAAAGTAAGCATGTAGGTGGCAGCAGGCGGTAAAGAAGGCAAGTGGTATGTTGGCCTTCATTGCGAGAGGTTTCAAGTACAGGAGCAGGGATGTGTTGTTGCAGTTATACAGGGCCTTGGTGAGACCACACATGGAATATTGTATGCAATTTAGTCTCCTTTTCTGAGGAAGGATGCTCTTGAGGGAGTGCAGGGAAGGTTTACCAGGCTGATTCTGGGGATGGCAGCTCTGACATATGAAGAGAGATTGACTAGTTGGGATTGTTTTCGCTAGAGTTCGGATGAATGAGCAAGGATCTCAAAGAGACTTATAAAATTCTAACAGGACTAGACAGGATCGATGCAGGGAGGATGTTCCCGATGGTGGGTGTCACAATATGAGGATTCGGGGTAGACCATTTAGGACGGAGACAAGGAGACATTTCTTCACCCAAAGAGTGGTGAGCCTGTGGAATTCATTACCACAGGAAGCAGTTGATGCCAAAACATTGAATGTATGCAAGAGGTGACTAGATATAGCACTTGGGGTGAATGGGATCAAAGGATGTAGGGAGAAAGCAGCATTAGGCTTTTGAGTTGGATGATCAGCCATGATTGTCAAGAATGGCAGAGCAGGGTCAAAGGGCTGAATAGCCTCCTCCTGCTTCAATCTTCTATGTTTCTGTGTTGCCACCCTCAGTGATTTCTCAAAGCAGTGTTCAATATCAGCCAAGAGAGGATGGTGCATTGTAACCAACAGGAGGCTTCCTTGCCTATGTTTGATGTGATGCCATGAGACTTCATGGGGTCCAGAATCAATGTTGAGGACTCCCAGGGCAACTCCCTCCCGACTATATACCACTGTGCCGCCCCCTCTGCTGGGGGAGGACAGTAGGACAGGACATATCCTCGAATGGTAATTGTGTTTTCTGTGTGTAAGGTGCGATTCTATGAGTATAACGATGTCAGGCTGTTGCTTGACTAGTCTCTGAGACAGCTGTCTCAATTTCGGTACTATATTGACCCTACATTTTAAGAAGGAGAACTTTGCAGGGTTGACAGGACTGTGTTGTTTTCAGTGCCTTTGTCAATGCCAGGTGATCCATCCGGTTTCATTCCTTTCATGAGACTTTCCAACAGTTGATACAATGGAATGCTAGGCTGTTGGAGAGGGCAGTTCAAAGTGAACCACTTGACTGTTGCTCTGGAGTGACATGTAGAACAGGGAAGAATGACAATTTCCCTTCTGTCAAAAAAGACATTCATGAACCAGGTGGGTTTTTACCTCAGATAACACAGTGTGCAGCTGGAGGAACACAGCAGGCCAGACAGCATCAGAGGAACAGGAAAGCTGACATTTCAGGTGGGGACCCATTTTTACCTCAGGTCTTTGGAAGGGTCACCAGACCCGAAATGTTAACTCTGATTTCTCTCCACAGATGCTGCCAGACCTGCTAAGCTTTTCGAGCAACGTCTGTTTTTGTTTCAGGTTTTTACAACAATTGATAATGGTTTCATGGTCAACATTAGGCTTGAATTCCAGATTTTTCTTAAATTTAAACTCTGTTGTCTGTTTGAATCTGGGTCCCCACAACATCTCCTGGTGACTGCACTACTAATCCAGAGACAATACCACAAAGCCATTGCATCCCCTGGGATTAGCTATGTTACTGTATAATGAGTAAAATAACTTCTGTCCAAAGAGATCAACCATTCTTCAGTTTTTCCAAGTTGTGGTTGGAAGCACCAGTGTTCTTTTGCAGTGTAAGAACCTCACATTTTTGTGCCCACGTGAAAGGTATTTGCTTAGACTTTGCCCCAGTTTTTGCTGAGAAAGATACTGGGGAGGAAGTGTATCCTCAAGTGGCTGAGTGATATCATGACGAATAGAAGTGACTTTTGAAGCACATTAGTTAAGCCAAGAGAAGGCAATGTGCCAGAGCCTGACTGAATGTATCCTCAAATCCTGAATGATGAAGAGTGGGAATTGCAAAGGCCCTGGAAGTTAATATTTTATAAGCCCTTTGATTATTTGCTGGAGAACTGGAGAGCGGCCAATGCAGTGCTCATTCTTCAAAAGAACTAATTTGGATAAGTACAGCCCCGTTACTTCGCGTCTGTGGTTGGGAACATTTTAAAGTCTTTAAGGCTGAGATTGCCACGTTCCTTGAGATGAGAAAATAGTTAGAATTAGTCCCCCCAACTTTCAGAAGGATTGAAATGATTGTGCTTGGCAAGCAGCATAGAATTTTTTGAGGAAGTAAGACAGCTGGAGGATGGGGGAAGATGCATTACATGTCAAGTATATGAAACTTAGTTATGTATCTCTGGAGCAAGGTCACAGAAGTGATATCTAAAAGAGTTGAAAACTCAAGATACCAGTCTTCACTTGCATTTGCTTGAAGGAAAATAATCACGCACAGGAATTAGATTTTCATGTAACAGATGCCATTCTTGACTGTGGGAGTTATTGTTTGTTTTTAAACTGAAATTCTAAGACAGTGTGTCAAATGCAGAATGATTGTTCAGAATACATTTTGACATGTCTTTCATCGAGCAGTTGGATTGATGGCAAGATGTCGGTGTCTTTTCTGATTAAACTGGTTGAGCTTCTGCTGGTTGGAGCTGGTTGCGAAGCCCATCTTCATTCTACTGTGTGCATGCATAGCCATATGCTGAAAACCAGCATGGAGAGGAAAGATGTTTCCACATTGAGCAACTCGAGTATTACACACATGCTTTGAAAAGGGCCAAGAGGTGTAGAGTGAAGGAAGCGATCAACCAAGCTGCAACAACCATCTCTGCATCTTCCCGTACTCTCTGCAATCGCGTGCCCCCCTCGTTGTCAGATTAGTGAGATGGTGAGGGAAGACACAAATCCAAACACGACTTTGGTCGGATTTTACGGAGAGGAAGGGGGTCTCAGCTGCTGACTGACTGGCAAGCCAGAAAACCTCCACATCATCTCTTTTCAAGAAGGCCCTTCGAGTGTATTTGCATAGAGAGCATGCTCATTGAAAGGCAGTTTAATTTACCAGAATTAAATGCCCCTTCCCAATTAAGATCTCAGCTAGCGTGCGATACGTGCCTTCAGATTCACAACTGCATTTAAGAGGCATGCAGCGAGCAAAATACTATACCTGCTGAACATGATCTATAACGTGCCATGATGGCCACAGTTCAGTAAGTTGAGCAAAAGTAGAAGCCTGTCTGACCAAAGTGCAAAATCTGTCTGGCCAGGGGTGCAGGTCCACCTGGGGAAGTGGGGAAGGGTGGAGGGGCCAGAATGTTAAACTGCAGGAACCCAAGTGATGCTCTAGGCTTGCAGGGAATGAATGTTGGTCTAGTTGGCCATCAAGTGTGGTGCCACTGTCTTCAATCCCTTGGGGTAATGTTAGGGCCATCGACCTCCTGCTCCCGATTTGCCACTCTCCTCAAGTATGCATAGAGACTGCACTGAGAACTGTGTAATCGTGTGAGAATAGCTGGCCTGACCCTAAGCAGCACCAGCCGCAAGCTGCATAAAGGAAAAATCTGTTCAAGAAATGCTGTCGGAACCAAGGATCTTCATTTTACTCGCATTCTTCCGGGAGCCATTCACTTTCTCGGGCCAAAGGAAGGCTGACAGTTTCTCTGAAGCTTCAGCTGCCAATGTACTAGCTAGAGAAATCCCTGCCTAAACCTCTGTCCTCCTTGAACTCTCTCCCTTTCTTTAAGACCCCTTAAACCTATCTCTCTGACCAAACCTTTAGTGTGATTGCCCTACATCTCTTATTTGACTCTGATGTTATTTGATAACATGCCTGTGAAGTGTCTTGCCTGCTTTATTATGTTAAAAGTATGACCCGAGTACAAGTTGGTTATTGTTGCGGGGAAGGAGAAATGGAATATCATTGAAAACTGCCGTTCAGGTACTTCACTAAAAGATTCGTATCTTTGTTTTTGTTTTAGGCTTCTCAATGGTGTGAGGAAATGACAGTAAACCTTATGGCACCAAGCCTTCTTCCTGAATTGCACTTACTAAAAGAGGTAGAGTATTGGAAGTAAAGATTAAACCTAACAACTTTCCGGTATGAAACCTAAAGTAATATAGAATCAGAGATAGTAGGAACTGCAGATGCTGGAGAATCCGAGACAACAAGGTGCAGAGCTGGATGAACGCAGCAGGCCAAGCAGCATCATAGGAGCAGAAAGGCAGACGTTTCGGGCCTAGACCCTTCATCAGAAAAGCAGGAGGGGAAGGGGGTTCTGAAATAAATAGGGAGAGAGTGGGAGGCGGATAGAAGATGGATAGAGGAGAGGATAGGTGGAGAGGAAACAGACAGGTCGAAGAGGCGGGGATGGAGCCAGTAAAGGTGAGTGTAGGTGGGGAGTTAGGGAGGGGATAGGTCAGTCCAGGGAATCCCCCTCATCCTCACATACCACCCCACCAACCTCCGGATCCAACGCATCATCCTCCGACACTTCCGCCATCTGCAATCCGACCCCACCACCAAAGACATCTTTCCCTCCCCACCCTTATCTGCTTTCCGGAGGGACCACTCTCTCCGTGACTCCCTTGTCCGCTCCACACTCCCCTCCAGCCCCACTACACCCGGCACTTTTCCCTGCAACCGCAGGAAGTGCTACACCTGCCCCCATACCTCCTCCCTCACCCCCATCCCAGGCCCCAAGAAGACTTTCCACATCAAGCAGATGTTCACCTGCACATCTGCCAATGTGGTATACTGCATCCGCTGTACCCGTTGTGGCCTCCTCTACATCGGGGAAACCAAGCGGAGGCTCAGGGATCGCTTTGCAGAACACCTACACTCGGTTCGCAATAAACAACTGCACCTCCCAGTCGCGAACCATTTCAACTCCCCCTCCCATTCCTCAGACGACATGTCCATCCTGGGCCTCCTGCAGTGCCACAACGATGCCACCCGAAGGTTGCAGGAACAGCAACTCATATTCCGCTTGGGAACCCTGCAGCCCAATGGTATCAATGTGGATTTCACAAGTTTCAAAATCTCCCCTCCCCCCACCGCATCCCAAAACCAGTCCAACTCGTCCCTGCCTCCCTAACCTGTTCTTCCTCCCACCTATCCCCTCCTCCCACCTCAAGCCGCACCTCCATCTCCTACCGACCAACCTCATCCCGCCCCCTTGACCTGTCCGTCCTCCCTGGACTGACCTATCCCCTTCCTAACTCCCTACCTACACTCACCTTTCCTGGCCCCATCCCCGCCTCTTTTACCTGTCTGTTTCCTCTCCACCTATCCTCTCCTCTATCCCTCTTCTATCCGCCTCCCACTCTCTCCCTATTTATTTCAAAACCCCCTTCCCCTCCCCCTTTTCTGATGAAGGGTCTAGGCCCGAAACGTCAGCCTCTCTGCTCCTATGATGCTGCTTGGCCTGCTGTGTTCATCCAGCCCTGCACCTTGTT